TAGTGTAGTAAAATGTGGCCTTCATAATGTTTTTTCTCTCTGTTACCACTCCCAGGTTCTGTGTGAGTGGGTTAATAACTTCCTGAACTTTGTGTCTCTCTAGCAACAGAGTCAGATTAGACAGAAGCTGTTTGACTCCTCCCACTTACTGCGCTCTGTGATGATTGGCCAGGACAGATACAAGCGGCGTTACTGGGTCCTTCCACAGTGCAGTGGCATTTTTGTTGAAGGCACTGAGAGCAGTGAAGGTGCAAAACAAAACCGATGTCTCCTTTGGTCGTTGTTTAATGTGTTTAGGATCAAAATCCTTACTGATTTCTTTTTTGTTTTTGACATTATTTTCATTTTATGTTACTTAGGCTGTGAAGTGGAGGAGGAGGAGAGAAGAAGACAGTGGGCTACTGAGGTGATCAGAGTAAAAGGGGAGCAGTTGGAACAGACAAAGCCGGTGGTCTCCAGCTCCACACAGAGCACAGACAATGATACAGCTAGCCAGCAGGACAAAGACAATCTCTTCCTCCAAAAACCTGGCTCTTTATCTAAGCTCAGCAAACTTCTAGAAGTAGGCAAAATGGGTCAAGATTCAGACATCAATACACAGAACAGTCATTCTTTTAAAGTCCCCACCACGGCTTCTTATCCTTCGTATCCTGCCTCACAGATAGTCCCTACTCAGCAGGGTCTGATGGATAAATTGGACACTGCGGTGCCATTTCTGCTCAGTGCTACTCAGCTGAAAAGCATTCACTGGGTGACCCAGAGTCCTCAGTCCAGCCTTCATTATGACCAGCTGTCCAAGACACTGACTGAAAAAAGCAGCCAGTGGTTTAGCCTATTTCCTCGCTCTCCCTGCGACGAGTCCTCAGTGACCTCTGGTTCCAGTCCAACAGTTTCCTCCTCTTCTCCACAACCCATCAGAACCAAATCCCCCTCTTTCCTCTCCACTAATCCCTCAGCTACAGATAGCTACAACACTACTCCTGGGATCAGTAACACAGAATTGCCTATCTTTCAGGTTGGTGGATAACAATAATGCATCTCCATCTCAGATAGAAGGATCAGTTCATGAGTTTTTAGAGCGCTGATAAGTGTTGCAAGAATTAGTCCACATTACATCACAATTTTTCCTTTGTTGGACCATGCATGTGGCATTGGAATAAAACTGTAATCTGATCATAATTCTGAGTGTATGCATTTTTATTCTCAGCAAGTAAAGTCTGGCATTCATGAAGGCAGACTGACACAGCATGACATGTCTAGCTCAGTGGCAAGTCCCAGCCTGCCCTTCTCTGGCACACCTCTACCCCCTATGGTGGATCTAGCTTCACAGCATGCAGAGGGTCATGGAAATGAGGCCTCTTTTCTGGAAAATAACTCTATCAACAAGTGCGAGACCTCAGAGTCCCCAAGTGACAAGTCCACTTGTGCCTCATATGCTGCCATAGAGGGGGCCAAAACCCAAGACTACCCTTATCCTCGGCCCATCCCAGAGGGTAAGAACGGCACGCTGCCAGTATGCACAAATCAGATATGCTGGACTGAACATATCTATTGCCCAGACAGCAACAGAATATGCCGTGGCGATTGTCAGTCGAACAAACAAATGTTGCTAAAATTGAAAAGCACAGTCACTTCTCCAATTTGTGTGTGTTTCCAGAAATGCTGCATGGCTGGTGGAGTGTGTCTGACATGGAGAACCTGCACGGTCTGGTCAAGACCCTCCATTGCCGGGGCATCAGAGAGAAGGCCTTGCAGAAACAGATCCAAAAGCATATGGAGCATATGACCAAGCTCTGTGAGAACAGCAAAGATGGTGGGTTCACATTTCCTTTGAGAGTCAGCAGACATTCAGCATTTCATGATTTTTAAAAGTATTATTATTTGAGTTTTTAATGTGATGTGACACATTTGGCTATGGAATTTCTTTTTTAAAAGCGTTCCTTAGAAAGCAGTTTGCTTTAATGTTTTCATACATATTTGGTGGCAGCTATTGGTGTGACAGGGATGGAAAAGCAGGAGGTAAGCAAGGAGGCAGTGGAGAGCTGGTGTGTTGAGGAGAAGGCCATGGAGGTGGACATTCGCCTGCTGCGACAGGTTGAAGCTCTGGAGAGGAAAGTCATCTCCGCCAGCCTGCAGGTCAAGGTAGTGACGAGCATTTCAGCTGTTTAGAAAACCTCAGCGTTTATTCTAATTATTTCCTCGGAAAGGCCATTGAAATTTTCTTTAATATATATACCTGTGTGATTAAAATAAGGTGTTGTGATGGCCATATTTCCCTGATATCTCTGTCAGGGTTGGATGCACCCTGAGCCCCAGTCTGACAGTAAGGATCTGGTCTATCATGAGCACAAGCCCTTCTCTTCCCTGGCTCAGGAAAACAAAAGAGAGAGAGACACCAGTCAAGAAGATGTTCCTGGCTCTATGGTGCGGCGGCCCAACAATCCCCTTGACATAGCGGTCACCAGGCTGGCAGAACTTGAGAGGAACATTGAGCGAAGGTACTTTACGAGATCTTAAAATACCACTTGTCAGACACAGGCCACCTTGCCTGTCTTTGTATTAGAAGTAGAAAATAATGCAAGATTCAGGACACCAGAAAGAAGAACTTGCAACTTTTTTTTTTGTACAATTGACTTGTTCTCATGTTTCTCAGTTAATTTTACAAGTGGTCTTACTTTCCGTGACCTTTTAAGCAGTGAGGAGGAGGTGGCTCCTGGGATGAGACTGTGGCGCAAATCCCTCGGTCAAGTCCGCAGCTCAGCTCAGCTGTCACTCTGCATTCAGCAGCTGCAGAAATCCATTGCCTGGGAACGAGCCATCATGAAAGTGGTTAGTGTCACCTGCTTTCACTGCACGTTTCTCTCTCTCTTCATCACAGATTTGTTTACCTTATTTGATCGCATATAATAAGAGTCACCATGCAGTCTTATAAGCTGCATAGTTTCCATAGCTTCTCATTCAGTTTCAAGAAAACTAATTTAAAAATATACAAGCCTTCTTAAAAACAGCCAAGGATACCAACGCAGGATGGCACAGATAGCTGGTTAAAGCTCTGGAGAAGGTTTAAATGCAGGAAAGATTTGGTAGCAGTTATATATCTCATTCACAATAAATCACTATTTTTTATAATCTTTTTCAGTATCTCACTAATCTGTTTTAGCTTTAATTAAACCAGTTGGGGTAATCTATTACAATTTTTAAAGAGGGATGCTCATTTGCCTGCACCGTTTGTTGCTGTTGTTTCCAGCACTGCCAGTTCTGTCAAAAAGGAGATAATGAAGAGCTGCTCTTACTCTGTGATGGCTGTGATAGAGGCTGCCACACTTACTGCCATAAACCCAAGATCAATACAGTGCCTGATGGGGACTGGTTTTGTCCAGCTTGTGAGTCAAAGGTACATCAGCGTCCCCTGAGGGATTGATCATAGAGCCAATATTCTTTTTTTGTGTGTGTGTGTTGTTGTTCTGGGTTTTTTGCTATTCATTTTTCAGCTCTGTTCATATCTATCTACCTGTGTGATGTTTAATGTGGCTCCACAGTCCTCTGCGTGTTCTTTCATACAGGAAAGCGGTCAATACCCTCATAGTAGGAAGCAGCAGAGCCGAACAGCTGGAGGAGGGAAGGAAAGCGTCGAGGGAAAACGAAGCATTAAGCCATCTGTGGATGGAGAGCTCATCAGTGAGGAGGATGCCAGAAGCAACAATGTGCCAAAGAAAGGTACCAAGGAGGTCAAAAAGAGGAAAGCAGACAACAGCCCACCCAGCTCCCAGGCCAAGTTTGACAGCCCCATCTACTGTGCAAAAAAAGCCAAAACGCACAAAGATGAGCTGGGAATATGCCGGTATGCACATGCATATACTTACTGTGCAATTAGATCCTAGAAGCTTGATAATATAGCTTATGTCATTGTTTAAAATTATTAGGCTCCTGTGACACATTTTTATAATAGAATTCACATTTTAAATCACTAAAGGGTAAACAAATCAGACCGTTGTAGTGAAAAGTCATATATTTGCAATGCAAAAAGCTCAGCTGTGTCTGCTCTTTGTTCCCTGCAGAGTGCTGCTGGCTGAGCTGGAGGCCCATCAGGATGCCTGGCCTTTTCTCACCCCAGTCAACCACAGAGCTGTTCCTGGATACAGAAAAGTCATCAAGAAACCGATGGACTTCTCCACCATCAAGGAGAAGCTAACCAGTAACCAGTATGTGTTGTTGTAGTCTTTAGGATGTTTTCATAACATATCTTATTCCTAATTTTACATTTTATGACTCGGACAGTGCTCATGAGTTGAAATTAAACCCATTTCTAATCATTACAGGTATTTAAACTTGGAGACATTCATCATCGACGTGAACCTGGTTTTCGATAACTGTGAGAGATTTAACGAAGATGACTCTGAAATCGGACGAGCCGGCCACAGGATGAGGAGATTCTTCGACAAGCGATGGACTGAATTCTTGCAGTGAACACATTCCAAAGTGGACATGTCCAACTTTCTCATGGGTGTCGGAGGCCTTCTCGACCTGTGACCCCAAGTGACTACACGGATATAATAAATCAATGTGCAGTTTGAAGGACAAGACTGGGGTCTGTCTGCAAGTGTAGGCAAAACACTTAATGGATTTGTATCTTCAAGTGCAATACTGTTTTGTTTGTTGAAACACACTGACTGTTCGGCTCAATGTTGTTTGTGCGAAATACAATATTGAGCAGGGACTTTACTTTTTTATCATCGGTACTAAGTTATATCTCTGTGTGTGCTGTATGTGTATTTATTTTCTCAACTACTTTACATTGCATTCTTTTCAAAGCAGAGGCACGAGACTTACAATGTAACAACTGTTGAATAAATGAAAAAAGCATTACTAACCATACCAACAGTTCCTCTGTCTAAATGCATTCACAAGTTCACTGAGTAATGCAAAGAGGGATCACTGACACATTAAGTGCTAATTCTTTCACTCAAGTCATAGTTATTACATGTTAAGTGTATTTTTACTGCACGGTCTTGATGAAGATGATATCATTGCATAAGGATGGTCGTAGCACTTAATCTGAATATCCACTCAAAGCACTCCTCAGAATTGTAGTGCCTGACTCTGAGGAGGATGTTATTCTTTTTCTATATGCGGTGTGTGTACTGTATGTGTCCTGCACAGTATATCGTAGGAAACATTTGCAGGAGCTGTAATAGGACCTTTCCTACTCTTAAATGTGGTGCATAGTGTTTCATCTCAAAGCGTTTCCTTCAAACAGAGCCTTGTCAGACATCCCGTGGACTGACGTGAAACCTGCATTGGAGCTTTAATCCATCGGGGAGTCAGTGTCACGGACCGCTGGAGGCATCTCAAGACAGCTGAAGTCAGAAGACTTGAAGTAACTGCATTTTATTATGAAAATTGTGTAATGAGTAGTGACTTTTGTAGGAATATTATTTTTGAACACTGGTGTGGATGGATTAAATAAACCCGTTTTTCAAAATAGCAACACTAAGCCCTCACTGCTGCTGCTGTTAATATTTTTCTTAGGTACATTTTTCTTTTATTAATATCTCATATTTTAATTGTTTTATTTTCATCAGTTTGCTAAAGCTATAATAAAAATTCATATGCATGCACTAAATACACACACGTCTGTACCGGCTTATTGCCAGCACATTCTTGTCATCTTTGTGGGTTTTGGCTTTTTTTGCACAGTAGATGGGGCTGTCAAACTTTGCCTGGGAGCTGGGTAGGCTGTCGTCTCCTTTCCTCTTTTTGACCTCCTTGGTACGTTTGTTTGGCGCGCTGTTGCTGCTGGCATCCTCCTCACTGATGAGCTCTCCTATCACAGATGGCTTAATACTTCATTTTCCCTCGCTGCTTTCCTTCCCTCCTCCAGCTGTTCAGCTCTGCTGCTTCCTGCTGTGAGGGTATTGACCGCTTTCCTGATTGAAAGAACACGCAGAAGACTGTGGAGCCACATTGAATATCACAGAGGCAGATAAATATGAATTGAGGATTATCATATCTTTGACAGAACAGGAAACAAGAGGTACAGGCAAATAAAGAGTGTTCTTTTCTATATATACCTGGAACTTTATGTTCAAGTGACTGTGGGGTGATTTATGACCTCAGCTGTATATTTATAATATAGAGAATGGGAGGAAAAAAAATATAGTTATAATTTAAATTTTTTAAAAATGATTACAGATGGATGGGGTAGATAAGCCAGATTTAGTGCTGTAGTCATTGAGCCTAATACCTGATGTCCAAAGTTACAATGAAATGTGTTAATGACAAGATATTTGTTGTAATTTTTGTTACAAATATGAAAGTCCGTCGATATTTTTGGTGTTAAAATGGCTAAATATTTCCCCATTGTTATTAAACCAGCAAAACTTGTTACATAAGTGACCCCATTCTACATAGTTATAAATCTCTGTATCGCTGTTGTTAACAGTCATGTGATGAGGTGGACAATGTTTACAGTGCAGTGATGTCATTTTATATAATGCAGTCTGAAGTCATGACCTTATTACTCGCTTAAAAACACAAAAGAAACCCCCAAAATCTGTTAAACCTGTAAGTAGTTAATCTGCAGCTGGTTTCCTCTGTGTATAGTATGCATAGCTGGATGCTTTCATATCAAGAAAACAAAGGAAAATCTAAGTGTCTTTTGTGAAAATGCTTACACTCAATGTACAGTGTGTAAAAAACAACATGAAATCATCTTAAATGTTACATATTATGTACAAACTCTACCCAAACATCCAAAGATGCATCCAAATACTAGTGTTTACATGTTCATTTTATTTTACTATTAGAGATAGTCAAAAAAAATTCTAACTTACCTCACTGCATACATATTATATGCAAATGTTATTTATATACATGTATATAAAATCTCAGGTTATAGTCAATTAAATTATACAAAATGAAAACACTTGACTGTAAACATTGTGTAACTCCGTATCACATGACCGATAACAGCGAGAGACACAGATTTACAGCCGAGTAGAAAGAGGAAGTCGAGAAGCAGTTGCTGAGCCATAAGGAGCAACAGGTTGTGGTGACAGCTTTGTGACTTTGCTCTCTTTGGGCGAAGCGGGTAGGACAGCAGGGAGAAGAGGCGAAATCAGCTGGTTTCGTGCAGGAATATCTGAGTATTTTGCGCCACCTTGTGAGCCAACCTCTTCCAAGCCAACAGCACATCTGTCACAAAATGGTGTCTTTAATTTGCACTCTCCGACATCATACAGATGAGGTCACCTGCTGTGCCTTCTCTCCATCCCTCCTGGCGACCTCCTCCGGTGATAAAACGCTCCGTGTTTATACCACAGCCGACTTCTCGGAGCTTCCCTTTTCTCCTCTCAGGGGTCACGGCTACGGGGTCCACTGCTGCTGCTTCAGCTCCTGCGGCAGCTTCCTGCTCAGCTGCTCCACAGACGGCTCTGTCATCGTGTGGAGCGCCGAAACAGGTGAGGTGAAGGCTACGCTCGAGCACCCAGGCCGCAGTCCTCTCAGAGTTTGCGCACTGGCGCCAGACTCCTCTCTCCTGCTGGCAGGAGCCTGCGATGGCACCGCGGCCCTCTGGGACTTCCGCTCCAAAACGCTACGCAGGTACATTAAGCATCACACAGGGTCACAGTGACAATTTTAGTATAATTAATGTAATCTTCTCCAAATATGAATGTCAAAATATGCCTTAGTTAATATTAAAATAAGAGCTAAGTAGTTAGACTCTTATCCAATCCGAGGTCATTTTTCTCTCTTTCCAAATAGTTTTTTGTCCACGTGACTCGAACAAAAAACAAACTACAAATTCACACGTGAAAAATGTTTTTCAGTATTTTGTTCAAAACCAATAACGGAGTCAATAAAATATTTGCTTACTGATAAATGTCAGCTATCTGAACATGGAGCGCTTTCTTAACCCTTCTGTGTGCGGTCTTGACATAACAGTTGTACAAGTTGAGACTGGAGGTTAATAATTGAACTGGGAAAGTCTGAATCACTCTTTCCACCTTTAGAAACCTCTCTCAGCCATTATCAGCAGATGGAGTCATCGCACACATCAGTGTCTCTTCAGATTCTCTTACTTCATGTTGCACAAAATGTAACTTGAATTTTCTATTAGACACACAAATCAAAACGGTGAGAAGGGAATAGAAAATAGACTTTAAAAAATGATCTTGACATAAAGGAAAGGATCTCTTAATACATAAAACATCTTTCTACAGGATCTTTAAGTAACTGAGCTCTAAAGTTTTGAAACTTGCTTTGTTAATCTTCAACAGACTGGAGTAATTGTCTTAAAGTTATTGCAGGTTCGTCTTCAAGTTACAGCTCTGTCATCACAGACAGGTGGAACAAAATCACAGAGGAACCAGCTAGACAAACACGGAAGCAGCCAACTCAGTAATTCTGATTAAATAAGCCAATTAAAAAAGCATTTTATCAGGATTATTTTGTGTTTTAATCCTCTGATTTTTCACTTTTGTGCTCTGGAACAGCTTTTCTGAGCACCCCTAGGCCTGCTGTGTGTCTCTGATTAATACCCACAGGTGGTTTAAATCATTAAACTCAGTGCGGGACTCCACAGCCTAAACAAATTAAATTTCCCTCCTTCGAATTTTACACACTTCCTGATAAACCTTGAAGTCTAAAGCGAGTCACACTCAAGTTGGTGCCAACATCCCCCTCCCCCCCCCCTCGCAGATGTGCCACCGTAAGCGAGGCCAGCGTCGTGGCTTGCTGCTTCTCTCCATGTGCCCAGATGTTTGTGACCGGCTGCACCCGTGGAGACCTCAAACTCTGGGATGCTTACACCAGCCTTCTGCACGCTGAGAAGGATGCTCACGACCTGGGAGTCACCTGTTGCTGCTTTGCACCCCAGTTCATCGTTAGTAAGTTCTCTTCATTTGTTACTACTGCTGTAGAAATTCATCTGAAAATAAAATATGAGACATCAGCTGCGTTTATTGGTTTTACGTCAGGGTGAATGGGATTTCTATCCATCTTCTCACATTTTCCATCTAAATGGTGCTGGTAAATTGAGTCAAATCTTTAGAACTACAGATTCCTGTTCAAAATAAAAGTTGACCATCTCAGTTACTCACCTCATTTTCTGTGGGGCTTTTTCCCTCATCAAAACTCTTTTGCAATTTCATTGCTTTTGCTCTCCTTCCTTAGTTCCTTTTGCATTAGGTTCATCTTGCACAATTTTCAGTTTAAAAGCAACTTGCATGTAATCCTAGAAGCAAAGTACCTGGCTCCAATAAAGACACTCGTTATGTTAGTGTTACTGCTGTATGTGCTGTAATGAATGGGTTGCAGCTAAAAAGCAGGCCGTCAGATGATATTTGCCGCCCTCTGCTTTCAGACTCATTCAAGCATGAATCTTAACAAAAAGGGGATGTGGCTTCTTTGGCTCTGCAGATGGCTGCTGTGTGGAGTTTCGACTGGCCTCCTGCGGACAGGACAGCCAGCTGAAAATATGGATTGTTTCCCAGCGTGAAGGAGCAGGTAGGCCGACCCCTCTGCCCCAGCTTCCCCACCTGAGCGCTCCCTCACTCGACTGCCGAGCGGGAGAGACAGGGAGGGAGAGTGTGCTGACTGCTTCAACCTTGAAACCTCTCTGCAGAATGGAAGAATTTTATTAGTGTGTGGAGTAAATCAGCTGCAGACTGACTCATTAATAATGGATCACTTTAAGACATTCTGCTGAAATACAGCAGCAGCAGCAGAGGTGTGTGCGTGTGAGTGTGTGAGAAAGAGTTGGAAGGAAATCAGGTGCATGTATCCATGATGACATTTACATCTTGTACAAGCAGCAGCAGAGGAGGAACATTTGTGTATGTTCACACGTACGTACCCCGGCTACAGACTGTATTTTTCGTTATGTATGTGAACACACCATGTTGTTAGGTTCCAATATGTGTTGCTATGGTAACAGCCATTTCTTGGGAGGATTTGATGTGTCCCACGTGGTGACCCAAGTCCGTGGAGATTTTTTTTTTTTTTTCCTTTATCTCCGAGGGACACCAGACAATGTCTGTCCTCATTTCATTATGCTTTAGATTTTTTTATTTTTTTTGTCCTCAGATGTGAAGGAGGTTGAGCTCGGCCTTTTTTTGAAATGTGCACTTATCTTGTCTTGGCATGAGGACTGTGCGCTCGAACCTCTCTTCCACTATTTTATGAAAAAGAGACTCAAGTGTACGTGATTTAGGGAAGCAAGGGGCGCATTTCAAAGCGGAGATTGCTGTCGAAATGGAACATTTTTTCTAGTCCCCGCTTTTGTTTTTGTGTGAGTGTGTACAAGCCCCATATGTTCACGGAAAAATCTCTAATTCCAGCTTCGCATATTAGCTCCATGGGTCGAGCCTTTAATGCTGTCAGATCTGAAGCATTCCCTTCAAGTCACCTATCAACACTTGCTGACATCTCCAATCAACACGTCACATTTGTTTAGTTTATTTTGGTCTCACTTGTATAGTTAATTTGTCGGGTTTAATCAGGCGTTACGGTTTTCTACTCCACTGTGGTGTTTCACATCAATCAGGAATATGCCTGGAAATAACACATTAACCTCCCAGAGAAAATGGTGTGTTTATGTTTTATTGCTGAAGAGAAAAAGGGGAGAAGGTTTGACTTAATACATGTGTATTCGCAGGATGATTATATAAATGCTGCTGCAGATCAGTTGGTTTTAGCATGAAGAATTAATGCAGTCGATGTGAGTTTATTGGCAAAAATAAAAATCATTTGTTTCCAAGTAGTTGTCAGCAGGGGGCACAGCTACAAGGGGGAAAAAAAAGCCATCTACCTCTACTTCTTTTTCTGGACTTCAGTCAACTGCTGAGATCGAATACAGACACAATTTAACTTTGGTCTCATCTTGCTTGTGTGTGTTGAACCCCAGCCTGTACCATGAAGCTGCTTCAGACTCTCACCAGCCAGACGGCCCCAGTTCTGTCTTGTGCCTTCTCCTCTGATGGAGAATGGGTTGTCTCAGGGTAAGACGCTAATCACACTCTCTGTCACAAACATACACACACATGAAAATCACTTCCTCCAGTGTTTTCATCCCATAATTCCCCCTGCTTCAGCAACTAATTATTGATATTTGTACCTTTCAGGTCACGTTTAATATTCTATTTGTTTTATTAGTTCCTGTGAAGTTGCTTCATAATTTGATACAATTCATATTCAAATTCATTTTTTTCTGTCTGCATTTTTTTTTCTGCGCTTTAAACGGCCGTGCCATGGTGAGCACTGATCGTGCTGTTCTCTGTCGACCACAGGAGGAGTGCATTTTGTTATCATATAGCTTCTGCTCAGTCCTTCTGTTGTTCCTGGCTGAAATTCAAACACGCTGAAGGTTAATCTGTGCTCTGCGTGGTGGGTTTTCGTGTGTGTGTGTGTGTGTTTATTTTAGAAAAGAATCCCTTTTTTCTGCTCATTATTCTACAATGTGAATGCACGCATATGCACGCCGCAAATGAAGTTGACTTTGTTTACTCTAAATATTCAACAGCTCCGTGGATAAAAGTGTCGCAGTATATGATGCGGTAAGTAAAGCGCAAACACGCCACCCATAATATGGGGTTGGGGGGGAGGTTTGTTGTTGTTTGCTGCTATAGTTAACTGTGGTCGAGGACTTTAAACAATAAATCACAGCGTCCATAAACACAGATGTCAAACATTCCCGTTTCGTGTGTTTGGACTTTGTGTACAGAGCCTGGGAACCGTGCTCCAAACTTTGAAACAACATGACAGGTAAATGACCCGGCCTGACCTCCCACCGCAATGCAATCTCTGCAGCTATTAGACAAACAGCAGAATAGGAGTCCTGGTGTTTCAGATCAAAAAGTGTGATTTTTGCTTGATTAGCTTTTCCCAGAAGCACCGGGTGCAGTGGTGCAAAAGTATATTCCCCGGCACTGCTTTTGCACCGTCATTGATGTGGCACCACAGGTAAGAAGCAGCACACCGCTTTGATGTCCTTGAAAGAGTTTAAGATGCTGCACGATCTAAGGCTAGTTTTTTTTTTTTTGGTTTTTTTTTTTTCCTTTCGTAAGTGTCGAGGGAACCAGATTTTTAAGGCCGCTCTCTTCCTGTGCCAGTTTCAGTCAATTACACACACACACCTTTCACATTCCCGTTCCTCTTGCTCCTTCCTGCAGGTATGTAACCGCCGTTGCGCTATCTCCCACCTTTCCCTGGATTGCAACGGGCTCTATGGACAGATCGGTAAACGTGTGGAGAATTGGAGATGGGGATGACAGCACTGGTAAATACTCAGCAGAGGATTGTTTAAGTTGGCACCAGCAAATGCACAATCACTCCTCGTTTTAAAACAAAATGTTAGCAGTGGTACAAAGCCCAGAAGCCATTTGCAGCGCCAAAGATTCCCAAAAGAGTGTTTTGGGAGTTGTCCAGCCAGAGAAGCTCCTATTACATGTGTACTCCTGTCTGGCTGCAGTGTCTAGAGGAGGAATTGTGATTGATGTTTATTAGTGCAGCAGGGCAAAGTACCACTGAGCCTTGGAAGGCTGTTCCTATGGAGGCAAACACTGCTTAAAACCAAAAAAAAGGTTATACCACCACATGAAAGAAAATATTTGGAATACTAAATGAAAAGGTGCAATCGTTAGACATCTGGAAGCCTTGAAGCTTCATCATTGCAGCTTCCCTATCTGCCATTAGTCAGGCTGATGTTGACAAAGTAAATTCCATCTCCATGAAGATCTGCCTTTTTTTATGCCTCTCTCTATCTCCCCTTTAATCTTGTTTCTTTCTCTCGTTTCACACATTGAACCTATTCCCTTTTATGTTTTTCGGCAGCAGCTGAATCAAAGGAGACACAGTGCCAAGGTAAATAAATGCATCACACTGTTTTGCCCTTAGAAATCTTCAGTTATTCAGCTACTCTTTCAGCTTAAACCAGCGCTGATTTATTTTAATTCTTCACATTCTTTATGGATGGTCCAGGTCTCAGCATCTAGTACAGCTGCTTGGATAATTCAATTTGTGGATCTACTGTTTTGTTTTTACTTGTGATGGTTTTTTGTTTGTCGTTTATTGTGCAGCACTGTACAAAAGTCTCGAGCCGACCCTCATTTTTCCGTATTTTGCTAGTAAACCCAAACTTATTATTAAACTTATTATTAAACATTATTAAACATATGCAAAGGACTTTCAAAGTTTCAAAGTTCTCTGGATGCTGGCTGCCTTTTGTTCTGACTGGTAGTGTCCCATTGTGTGTGTTTTTTTTATATCTAGGTATGCTTTTACTGCATTGGCGGTGTGTTTGGGACCATTGTCATGCCAAAAATGAATCTGTTTTCAATCACACTTCCCAGATAGTATTGCATGGTGAATCAGAATCTGATCGTTCTTTTGTTTTTGTTCATAATTCCATCGAAAATCCATCGATTTTCACAAGATCTCCAACAACACAGGCTGAAATGCAGCCCAGTACCAAGAAAGAGCTGCCACTGTTGTTTTGGTGGCTCTAGACACTGATTGTTGTATCTCTCTCCTGACCTCCTCTGTACAAATTGACAATGGTTTGAACCAAAAATGTCATTTTTGGACTCCATAAGACCTGTTGCTACTGATTTTTAGTCCATTTCTTGTGTAATGTCGCCCCTTTTTGATGAGTGAAGAGGAGACGGCTCAACTAATAATAATAATAACAATAATGAATTGCCCTCAAAGCGCTTTACAATGCCACTATTCTTTCACTCTCACATTTACACACTGGTGGAGGCAAACTACAGTTGTAGCCACAGCTGCCCTGGGACAGACTGACAGAAGCAAGGCTGCCATATTGCGCCATCGGCCCCTCTGGCCATCACCAGTAGTCGGTAGGTGAAGTGTCTTGCCCAAGGACACAACGACCGAGGCTGTCCGAGCCAGTGCTCGAACCGGCAACCTTCCGATTACAAGACGAACTACCAACTCTTGAGCCACGATTGACCTTACAGGACAAGCTAGATCTCTCAGATACTATGTCAGGTCATTTTCCTGTCTCTTAAGGACATGACTTTCAGATACTGTTCATTTGCTGTAGAAAGTCTTTTAGCCATGTCACTTCCTTTGTCTTCCACTGTTTAAGGACTAACTTTGCACCAAGAAGAAATGGGAAAGATTAAAAATGCATTTTAAAATGTGTCCTTTGCTACGTTGTCTGTTAGGTATAGATACAACATTGATCCAGCGCTTGAAGTAGGTGCTTTTTTAAAAACGCTTGAGTGATTGATAAAAAACACCAAATAAAAATCAGAGCATTCGTCTTGAAAATGGTCAGGTACAAGGACTGGACTAAAAATTAACCAAAAAAAACTCCAAAGAAAATCTTTGAAAGCCCTTCAGAAAGCCTGGAGAACTATTTCTGAAGATAATTTTTTTAAAATTAAAGTCTGCCTTTTTCTAAACCAAATACTGTACAAAGAAGTAAGTGGCTCAAGACTTTTACACAGTACTGCATTTTATATTTTGTGCCCCAAAACAGATACATGTAACTGGAATCCAAAAGCAAGAATATAATTCAGTAATGGCTGTCTTGTGTGAAAGAATAAGCGTTTTTCCTAATGTTTGCAGCTCATTTCATCCCACTGAGTTATAGAAATAAAAATATTGTTTAATTTTCACAAGAGACTAAGTAATTCATCAGAACAAATAGCCTCTGTAGTATTTAGCCATGCTAGACTGAAATATCCCTGTGCTGAAATGTGGTGCAGATGTCTGGGCCTTGAAGATTGAGATAGTTTAGTTTTTAAGCAAATACCTGCAAAATAACGTCAATCCCATCAGCCTCTGCTGTGTATTAGCCAATGTTAGCATGCTAACTCTTCTTAACTCAGATGGTAAACAGTGCTATCACTGTGACCATGTTAGTATGCCTGGTGCATTTACTGCTAAGCACATAATTTAAGGTTATCATCATGGTGTTAGCATTTTTTTAAACAGAGCAGTGTTTTTATTAAAGACCTAAAAGGCAGGAAGACGAGCTTAGATACGATGAAGAATATAAAACACACAAAAACGATGAAAAACGAATCATGGACATCACATATCTAACGCTAATCACTCTGATATACTGTAGTTCAGAAAACAAAACGCATTGAACTGTGATTTTGAAAGATCATTATATTGTAATATAATAATCCTCTTATCTGTAGTTATTTTTATTGAATTTAATAACTGTACAGTACTCTGTTTATAGTAACCACTGTCCTTAATGTAAATATGTAAGAAAAATTGTGTATGTTTCTGTTCTGTGTTCTGTGTCCTGTTTGTTGTATATGTGTCTTTCTGGCTGCTGTTACAACCAAATTTCCCCTTGTGGGACAATTAAAGGATTATTCTATTCTATTCTATTCTATTCTAATCATGTAGACACAGAGCCACTGCAGGCTGAGGTTTAGACAACATTATAAATAAATGAAAGATTAAATTAAACAATAAAATAAGTGAAGCATGAATATCTGGACATGTGATTTTAGTTGATTATGTAGCAGTTGATCATAAAATGATCGTGCAATCCCTCCAGATTACTTTATTAGCCCAAATCACCTGATAGTTCACCTTATACCTTTTGTATGTATTCATATATGGTATGCTTATTAAGGTGGTTTAACATAACCACTGTTTCTGTGCATCTGCAAGCTGCTTTGCAACCCACCTTCACCTTTTCTTTCTGACCTTTTCATTGTTATCACTGATGCCTGCTCTGTTGTGTTGCTCTCACTGCAGCTGGGCTCATCTTATTTTTCCTAGTGTTTTTTTCACAATCATTTCCAAAACAGAGCCATAATGTTAAAACTAAAGAAGTGTTGTTTTGACTATAGTGGCCTGGAGTGAAGTGTATGATGTTGCATACTTTCTAAAACTATAGTAGTGGTCAAAAATGAAAACTTGCTCCTAGAGTAATTAGTCTGTGTTTGCCTCATCTCTTGGTTAATGAGCATTATGAATGAATGAATGAATGAATGAACAGGAAGATCTTTAGAGAACTGACCTGAAAATAAACCAATAGGTTTTTGGAAGCAAAGAAATGTGTCACCAAGTGTAGATAGTTTGGGGTTTTTTTCAGTAACAATGAGAGTCTTTTGCAGAAAAACGTGCCTTCAGGATATGGTTTTGCAGGCTAATGTAGGACTGATTTGTTGACAAGAAGAAATGAAGCTCGCCAATCTATAAGATGTAGAGAATGGAAATGATGAAGAAGTCTTCATATGTGAATCTGTCTGAGTAATCAAACACAGCATTCTGAGCTATTTCAGTCAACTGCCATGCTTTGACACACAGTGTTACCAGCTCCTTAGACTTGGAGACTCGAGGTGCTGCTGCCAGGGCTGCAGAGAGGAGCTCCTGCTTTTGTGCACGCTGGTTGACCGTCATGGGTTACTTGAAATTTAATGGAGCTCAGCTATCATTAATTCCACCTGTGCTTTCACTACTGTGACGAGTCAAGAATTCAGCTTTGAAAAGGGTCTATGGAAGGTTTTGCATCATCTCAGATTTAACATTCAGTTTCCAGGAGAAAGCCCTCTTTTTTTTTTTCCACAGTCAGACAGAAAACAGCTGAAATAATTTACTATTTTTATTTATTTATCATTTATTATTATCATCATTATTATCATTATCATAGCTGTTCTTATGTTATTGTTTTTTTAATGTCTAGATTTTGATTAGATTAGTTAAACATAACCCTGATTGGATTCAAATGCAGTCCAGCAACAGACATGTTTTCAGGTGGGCATTAAAGAGCAGAATTTTATGTGGAAGATTTTTTTTTTTTTTAGGGTAGCAGAGACAGCAAGAGGTGGAGGGGAAAACCTAACACATGGTTAAGGTAGTAATGAGCTACACACCTCAAGTCTTCAGGTTTAATCCTGGTTAATGACTGCCAATGTGAACTATGAAGCTGCTGTGAGGTTTCATTAATGGGGCCAACGCACAACAGGCCAGTTTGTCGCCACGTTGTATGATGAATGATGGCCACATAGTGTCGCGAAGGTTGACGAGCTACATGCTGGCGGAGCCTGAAATAACACACCCCTGGGTTTCATTTTCTTTCCTTTGGGAGATCACATACTTGTGTGTGAGGTCAGGTGTGTGTGCTTGGAATACTCATAATGTGGGGCTACTGTTCAGCAACACTGTGGGGGAAAAGCAAGTCTCCACTAAACTACACCATGACAACTCAGTGTAAGGTTAGCATAAGATTAATGTAAATGTCCTCAGCATGTTTGAGTGTGCATCAAAGTAATTATCACTTGCAGAGGGGACATGTCCTTTTACTGTGGAGTGCGAATGGAATCTGTTTGTTTGACAACGGGTATGTTTTGTTGCAGGAGTTAGGGGAATAATCACAGAGCACTTCCTGGCTCCCTGTTGTGTGTTTTGCAGGAAGGAAGTTGCCAGGTCACTCCGGGTTGCTGCTCACTGATTGGTCAGAGGACGATGTGCAGACTTGGCTGCGTGACGAGGGACTAGTGGAGCTCGTCGGTATCTTTAAAGCCAACAACATTGATGGACCAGAGCTTAGCCAGCTGAACAAGGAAACAGCAGCTGAGCTTGGAATTGGTGAGGATGGAATTGAAAGCAACCACTAACATCAGTGTACACTTCACTGACACACACTGGGATTCTGTGTTTTTGTGAGGATTTACTCCCTGATCCTAACACATAACAAGACTGAATTAGAAAGCATGATGTAAGCTGCTTTTATTGATGCTCTGATTTATTTTTTCCCCTCCAAAAACTCCTCCCAAATAGTGATGTGATTTAAGGGCGTGAAGCAGCAGCATGTCTGTCTGCTTATACAATCGCAAATCACGCTGGGATGACAGTACCCTGCTGGATGACCTTTACCTCGGGAACAATGATAATCCTGCTGACAACAAGATTAGTCCCCTCAGGTTCGACCAAGGTCACAGTGCAGAAAGGCTCCATACAAACTGTGGCCAGAAAAAAAGAAATCACAACTCATGTAGGCAGCAACATCACAGTACAGCTGCAAATAATGTGCAAATGTCAGCATTATTATCTCCACTGAAGCAATTAAACATTCACACAAATTCAAAAATGAAATTTACAGTGCCTTTCTTATTTCTTTTTGTTGGCATATTTGTCAAACTGAAACGTTTCAGATCATCAAACAAATTTGAATATCAGTTGAAGATAACCCAAGTGAGTAAATACAAAATGCAGTTTGTGAATGATTTCAATTTATTAAGAGAAAAAAAGTTATCTGGCCCTTTGCGATAAAGTAGTTGTCACCCTGCCCCAGTTCACTAGCTACCGATCTCATTACTGTCAGATCTGTTGAATCAAGAAATCACCAAAATAATTCTGCTTGCTCGCTAAAGGATTTTAAAAAACATGCCACATAATGCCACAACCAAAAGAAACTTTAGGAGACATGAGAAACACAGTCATTGACATCTATCAGTCTGGAAATGGTTACAGCACCATTTCTAAGGCTTTGTGTTATCAGCGAACCGCAGTGAGAGCCACACATGGAGAAAACTTGGAACAGCAGCGAGCCTTCCCAGGAGTGGCCAGCCTTCCAAGATTACTCCAGCAATGTATCGACAACTCAAAAGAAAAATAGGATCCTTGGGAGAGTTTCAAGGTGAAAGTCTGAGTCCAGTTACACGTCGTGTAATACTAACACAGAATTTGATAAAAATAATATCATACCATGATGGTGGTAGTCAATGGTGTAGGGCTGCTTTGCTACTTTGGGGCCTGGACGACTTGCTGTAATTGATAAAACCTTGAGTTCTGCATTCTACCAGAAAATCCTGAAGGAGAATATCCACGCTATGAAGGTCAAGCATTGTGCAGTAGGTCAATGATCCAAACTGAAAAACCCCCAAAACAAACCCCCAAATTAAGGTTTTGGCCCAATTAAAGTCTAGACTTGAATTGAAATGAGCCGTTCATGCTCAAAAACCCTCCACGTGTGGTTGAATTAAAACAGTTCTGCAAGGAAAAGTGGACCAAGATTCCTCCACAGCGATGTGAAAGACTGCCAGTTATCTCAAACACTTGATTGTAGTTCTTGCTGCCAAGTGTTGCACAACAATTCATTAGGTTTAGGGGGGTGATTACTTTTAAATTTTGGACCAAGTAAGTTTTAGATGTCATCATTTAACAACAGTATTTTGTATTAACTGAAGTTATTTTAGTCTAATATTGAAATTGGATTGATGATCTAAACATGTAAGTGTGTCAAATGTGCAAAAAATAAGAAATCAGGAAGGGGACAAATACTTCACACACTGTAAGGTTACAATATTTTAGAATAGGTAGCCAGACAGAGTCAGGCTACCTGTTACCCCTTTTCCCTCCTATGTATGTCAGCTTAGTAAAGTCCTATCTGGAGTTCTTTTTGTGAACACACAGTTTTAAAGGAAATTTGCAGTTTGCATGCTGCATTGGAGCCATAACGCCCAGAAATCCTGCCTCTTGCCTAATTGCGAGTACTTTGTGCCAATTGTAATCAGCTGAATCACAATCTCTCCCTTAATCACAGTAAAAGCACCCTCTTGCCTGTTGTTGGGTTTGCTTTAATTGGACAGTAGCAGAAGCGTTAAAGCCAACTTTCCCCCTGCTTGCTGTTCAGTAATGCAAAGCATGCCTTATGTCTTTTCCATGTGTTTGGTATGGAGGACAGCTCTCATCATTACCACAGAATGAGGACAGAGGAAACGGCAGATTGCCACATTTCGTGGCCTTTTTGTGCTGCACAACCAACAACTATCATTTTCCATCCATGCTGCTTGTGTAAATGTGTGCACATGCATAGACAAACAGTCGCTCACACATGCTGCAGACACACACAGAGCAAATTGGATTCCAGCGCACTTTACTCGATGAAATATTCATGAATCTTTGAGTAAGGGGAGGGGGGAAAAGTTCCTCCAATATAATTCGGCATATCTCTGTGGAAACAGCCTCATTCTGCGCTTTTATTGTAGCCCTGCATCAAATTATCTATCTAAATGTAAAGTGGACGCTATAGTTCTAATGGCTTATGTCTCCACGAAAAAGATGTGTGGGAACTTATGGAAATCTTAAATGAAGCATTACCCTGTTAAGTGTAGTTTTTCCATCTAAGAGTCGTTTATTGGATGACTCAGATTGGTTCGGGGGGTTTCAATGTGAGAAGGCGTTTGATTGGACGCTGCAATTTTTCCAATAGGATCTGAACTACTTGTTGTTCCGACAGCACGTCTTCCCTGCTTCATCTGCGTTTCAACTTAAATGCAGCGTTTTCAAGGCACAGACTTAATGGTAAAGGCGAGTCAGTCTGTATAATGTGAGCGTGAATTCTTTCCTCCCTCCATCTCTGCTTCCTGCTCAGTGAATGAGTGCAAAATTAAGACATACTCACAACATTTAATTTCCCCAGCAAGTGAAGTGACTGGTCCCCTGTGAGCATTAGCTGATTGTGAAGACCTCTCCAGTTTGTTGGAGGCTGATTGCATCCTATAAATGGATCAAATATTCACCAGTACATCATGATGTATGATAGAAAAATTTAGAGCGCATACTGTATATCAGTATGAATTCAATTTCAACTATTGCACACGCCGCTATTTGCAAACCAAACTACACACAAACTATCCAGAAGTGTAATCATTAGAAACAACTTTAAGCCACAGTTGTATAAAAGTTGCAAAAATCCTTGCAACTTTGCATTTTTGCCATCCAAACTCAGTATTACATGACCTTGGCACATCAATGATAAACCTCAGTACAGCTCATGAAAACATTTCTTATTCACTCATCCAGGCCTGTATCTCCCTGTGAAGACACTAAGGTCAAGTCATTGAATTTTTTTCTTAAGTAAGAGAACACTCTGCATAGGTTATAAAAACAGTATATATATTTAGTTCAGGCCAGTATATAAATAAAAAATCTTACTTTCCAAACAGAACCTTATTCCAGTATGCAGAATTGATGGCAACAAAAAATATTCTCCAAATTTGCTGAAACAAACATGTCTGGTATGTTGTCTTCATACTGGTTAATTTCCATACAAGGTGTATATGATTTGCATATCACTAAAATCAGTTTTATTTCCATTTCACCCTGTGCACCAACTTGTTTGAAAGTGAGTTTTATTATAGACTGTATATCGAAGATGGACAAAACCAATGCAGCAATGGGTTTTGGAGTTACTTTTTTTTGTTTTGTTTTTTTTTGTTTTAGTTAGTAACGTTCATCTCTAGACTTAAATCACACAGATGAATATTATTTATAATTTGTGCTACATAACATACAAATAAAATGCTACACTTCTTGGATTGTCTGTAAAGCAACTGGATTAAAGAAACACAAACATGACTGAGAGGTCTGGTGCAATTACTCAGATTAGCAGAGAGTGTGGTAGTCTGCAGCTACTTAAAACTGTAATGTCCCTAAAAATTCACACTAAGCATAAATATAAAAATGAATTATCCATCCATTCTCTGCTGCCTATCCTTTTCAGGGTCGCTGGAGCCTATCCCAACTTTCTCAGGGCCACATTTGGTGTTAGTTAAACCATAAAGGCTGCATAAAATTTCCTGAAAATGTATTTTTTGTGACGTCAGCTTAAATTTTTTTGGATGCATGCGATGATTTAGCAGTCACCTATAGCGATAGGAAGGAATAAATGAGCTTTTTCTCTCTTTTTGTTTTGGCTGTCACCATATGTGAACGAAATCTTCAGGACTTGTGAAAGAAAATGTCACTGCAGCTGCTCTCTCTGTCTGAATGAGACCTACACCTCCACGGCACTGCCATTATACGCCGACACACCACTAATCATGTGCGGCTCTATAGGTCATCACTCCATTTTAGCTGGTGGTGAAATTTGCAGCTGACGATAAATTCACTGGGGGCTGTCAGTGGGCAGAGACATGCAGCTGTGTGCAGAGTGAGTTTCCTCTTTTTGGACCTGTTGGAGTTTAATTTCCGAGCAGGATAATGAGAGACGTTAGCTAAGCAGCCATCATGACACAGCGAGGTGTCTGGCTCTTTGTGTCTCAGTACAGAGTGATCATGTGCAAGTTCAGATTTATCCTCCCTTTTGTTCTGAGAGAGAACAAAGTCAGTCTGTTCAGTGCCTGCTGCCTCGCTGCGTCAACCCAAATTCATTGAAATCGCTATTGAATACCATTAACGTACAACAGTCTTTGGTTGGTCTTTGTAAGGTAATGATAATGAGGTTTAAATGATGCCAAATGAAATGTTGAGACCAGCCTTTTTACTACATTTGAAAATTAACAAAAGGTGCACGGTACTCGATATAAATCACCATCATGGCTAAAAAGGACACTGAACGGCGTTTTGGTTTTTTAGAGTCGGTGGGCCTTCGTGGTCGTCTCCTGAGGAGAATCGAGGCCCTGAAGGCAGAGCAGAATGGTTCAGAAGCCCCAGATGAATTCCTGTGCCCAATCACCAGAGAGCTGATGAAGGATCCGGTCATTGCTGCAGGTTAGTTTACAAATTAAAAGCACTTGGTCCCTAGCGTCTTAAACTGAGCCAAAGATGGGGACAGCTTCACTATAAAGATTTTTACTTGTATTATCTCAGTGTATTTGGGATGTCACTGTATGTGTGCTCCACAGATGGCTATTCCTATGAGCGGGAATCTATTGAGAGCTGGATTAGAGGCAAGAATAAAACCAGCCCCATGACAAACCTTCCTCTGCAGACAACACTCCTCACCCCCAACAGGTCTCTGAAGATGGCTATAACGCGGTGGAAGTCGAACCAGGAGCTCAGAGTAGCTCAACATCTGATAACAAAAGCTGATTGAAGTAATTATGAATTTGTTCAGGGTGCTATTCAAGAGTCACATCTGGCGAAGTGATCAGAATCTGAGATCCCAGAGAAGTTGACTGATATTTATACAGTAAATAACTATTATTTTTTAGCTATATTTTACATAACTGTCAAATATACTTGTATTTAAAGAGAGAATCTCTAAAGCAACACTGTAACTATGCAATTTTAATGTGCCTTTAAAAAAATAAAGTGAAGTACAACTCAAAATCCATTTTTTTTTATACCCATTTAAATTGAATAAAATGGGTTTGCTTTCAGCCTTATTTGGACTGGCATACTATTAGCATATCGCTAATGCAGGCTGATGCTGGAACTTTAGATTTACTGCATTTATCTGTGCAACTGGCATCACGTGTTTTTGACTGTGACTTGAGTTAGCATTATCAAAAATCGGTCATTATTTGGCTAATATTCAGCAACCTTTATATAATCTTACTCCAGTTATTAATTACTTACTAAGTACTATAGTGTGACATTTTAAAACCTACTGTAGCTTTACTCTGTTACTAACAGCTTGCAGTGGTTTATTCTAGCTCAGTAATCCTGGAAGATGCCATGTAAAACTGAATGCTATTGTTTAAAAATCATCTTTGGGTCATAATGAAACTCCCACGAGGGTAAACCAATAGCTCACCCCCCACTAACCAACCATAGACTTAGCTTCTTGGTTTCAGTGGTGAAGATGGTGCATCTTAAACATGCAATAGTTGCAATGCCCAAGTTTCAGGTATCTGTATTTTACTTGACTAGTTTTTTTTCTGGCATCTTTTCACGTTTACTCCCTACATTTTCTTTTTAAGATTGCTCAGTGGTATCTGATAAACTGGAAATTTAAAGCTTACATGCAAGTACTCAGTAATCAAATATTATTTGATTATTTTTAACACTACTATCTGTACAGAATGTCTGTACTTTTACAAGCTTAGGTCACCACAGGGAAAACAGCCACCGGAGGCCGTGGCATGACTAAAATGTATTGCAATTGTGTGCAACAAACTTAAAATCTTTTGAGTTTGAAATGGTTGTTTGGATTCAGGAGCCAGGTCTACACCCACTTGCAGTCAGTTGACATCCTCAAAGTGATTTCAAGAACGCTCTCAATCTCTGAGCGACCGGCTGGTTGCCAGTTGCTTGCAATCGGCACAATTTAAGACCATCACTGGGAAACCAGCAATTTTTTTCTAGTTAGGTTCCCATCCTGTCTTTTAAAAATTCTTTTTTATTCTAACATTACATACACCAGTCCTACGCACGCATCTATGACACACTTGATGGACACTGACACATTACAGGTAAAGCTAAGCTAATCCTAGCTCCATTTAAATACACTGCATTTCAGAGATATTTCACTAAATTTACTCCACATATAAAAAGAAATACTTTGAAAGGAATATATGAATGTTCAATTACTATTTGTGTACAATAGCTTCCAATTAGAGCACTGCTAAAATCTTACATGCTGCAATAAAAGAATGCACGAAGAAGAAACTTACCGTCCTGAAGAATCTTTTTTGCAACCGTTTTCTATACCTTATCTTTAAATTCAGTATCGTCATTCAACACCGTACACTGGCTTATTTCCCGTGTGCAGCTTCAGTTTTTGATTAGGCTGATAAAGTGTGGAGCTTCTAAAGCAAATACAGCAGAAATTCAGAAGAGGAAAAATCTTCAGCTTCTATGGAAATAGTCTCACTGGCTCTAGTAGCTTTTAATTCTTTGGCTAATGTATGTGGAAAATGGCGTGTATAGTGCAACCAGGACAAGTTGAGCTTTGTTAATCTGCTGAACTGCTTTCAACTGTGACCACATGGTAGAGTTATGTTTACACTCCTGTAGATCTTTATGACAGATGCTTCACCAAATCAGCCCAAAGGATAAAAGTGAACAGAGCAATTTTGTTTCCTCAGTGGGTCTTTATTTCTCTCTCCCATGGTAGCTATGGCAAAAATGTTCAATTACAGTATGTGATCACAGCTAATAAAGCTCACAATACTGAAAACATGGCAACAATTGCATTTAATGTACATAATAAAATAGAACTGATGGCACTGAGTCCCCAAACCATTTTTCTGCTTTTATAGACTTTTTTCCACTCTGTAATATAAACTGCAATTGAAGCATGCACTTAAATCTCAACACTGAGAATCATAAAATGTCTTAGTAGCTGTGCAAAAATAACTATATAAAATATATTGCTTTTACAATTAACCAAGCCATTGGCGCTGTAAATAAATTAAACTAGACAGCAACAACAAGCAGATACAGAAAGGAATTCAATTCAGTGTTAATGGTGATTTTATATAATGTACAAACATATTTAACAAATGCTTTGTTTTTTGTTTTAGAACCTTTAACACCATTTGAACAACATTGTGCCTAAAACTCGAGATACACAAGTCGGAACTTGTCAATACACTTAACATGGACCTTCACTGAACAGAAGGAAAAGTACATATTTATATAATATACACAACATGAGGATCTATAACGTCCTTCGTAAAACACAGGAATGCCCGTCCCTTAAACCCTCTGAACGTTTCACCGGGGACTACGTCTTCCTTCACATCCATTTATTTTGTGCACACTTTGCTCTTTTGCAAATTTAAACAGATGAATGAGAGGCTTCGGTGTCTGATTTTCAATGAAATTACAAAGAACTCAGCAAATGTGTTTGCACTTTGTCATTTTTGGGCTACTGAGTGTAAAATGACAATTTGATTCAAATTGAATTAAAAGCAATTGCAGCAAAGTGTGCAGAAAACAAAGGGTTCTCAATCATTTTTAAAGAGACCGTATTTCTTTGCTCTCAGCACCATGGACGTAAATGAATTACTCTGTAATAACATTAAGCTGTAACTGAATATGTTGTTTAAGCACTTGCTAACTGTGTAAAGTGCTCATTGCCACCGTTTTGTTGATCAGGACTGTAGAGTACATGTCTGGATACTTCCTTCAGTGCTTTGTCTCCAGCCTGGCTGAACGACGACGGACATGTCATGTAACAAAAGCTGACAGCCAGAAGCGGCAGATTGGGACGAGTAAAAATTTGGAGCCTTCTGCACGCTGCTTGGTGCCTGAATTCCCGGGAAAACAAACAGCTTGCAAACTGTACTCCTTATAAGACTTAACGTCAGACTGCACTCTGGGGTTGGTTAAAAAATATGAAACAAGTCCCTCTCACTTTAGATTTTTCCTTGTGTCTGTGCGCGTGTGCGTTAAGGACTGTAAGAGAGATAAAAGACGCTTGTCTACACATTCGACTCTATAAATGATCGCTTTGGTTTCATTGAAGCTACGTGAATGGCAGGATTATCTCGAGCTAGGCCAGGCTGCTTAGGCTTACTGTCCATTAACGTGTGTGGCATAGCCAGTGCTGGCTTGGACTCTTTGTAACAGTTGGCAGCTTGGCAGAACTTCTCTGCAAATTCCTTGGCATGCATGCCATTTTGTAAGCTACTCATCGCCATACCACCCTGAGGTGGTGGAGGTTTGTGCTGCTCCTGGTATGAGCTCGCCGTTTTGCCGTCGACAGACTGCAGGCCCATTGTCGACATGTTGTGACACACGAGGCCGTCGGAGGAGTGGTTCAGCCAGCTGCGACCGATAGACTGCAGGCTTGGGTGACTCTGCAAGCCGTGGTGCTGCTGCTGTTGAATCTGCTGCTGTTGCTGAAAACGGGCTGTCTTGTCGGTTATGCCCATGAAGGGCCTGGGTTTGTACTCGGCTGCGGCGCTGCCCTGTTGGCTGTGCTTTGTTTTGTCAGTGATCTTGGTGCGAACGTCAGGACCTAGCTTGCCGCTGTCTGACAGGCTGCTGCTTGATGCCAGGCTGCTGGTGGAACTAGACACACGCATGCTGCTGCTGCCACCGCCTCCCTGAGATCCCGCTGCAGCGCACATCCCTTCCTTTCCAGACTCAGAGTGATTCCCCTGGAATCCAGGACCAGAGCAGGCCAAGCCATCCAAGGACGATGCGGAGTGGGCAGACAGCCTGTCTTGGCCCAGACCTTTAGAGTTGCTGCAGGATGAGTAAGAGGCTTGAGAGGAGTGGAGACTCTCACTTTCACAACTGTGACCTATGGAAGAGGAGGCAGCTGCCAGCAACATGCGGTTCCCATACATGGGCTCGTCAGCCGGGGGGGGCAGAGGGCCGATGTCGATACCTGGCCCCGGCTTCAGCATGCTGGACATGTGTCGGCTGGGTAACGGACTGGAGGGAGCGTACTGAGATTTGGCCCCTGCCGAGCGACCCCCCACGGCTCCTCCCCCGGTCTGCATGGAACTCATGTGCTGATTGGTCTTGACAATTTGGGCTTGCTTGGTTGGCTGCAGGACCAGCCCCTGTTGAGGCAGGGCATCCCGGTGCTCACGAGGGTACCTGTGAGGAGGAAGCCTGCTGGGGCCTGGGGGTGAGCTGGGGCTCAGACTCTGATTCTGGTGTCCCACACTGATGCTGGCGGCCGCTGACTCAGAGGGTAAGACTTTGTTAAAAGAGTACCTGCTCTGGGACCAGCAGGCTTCACCTGTCCTGTCATGCTGCATGGCATCCTCCTCCTCTTCCTCCTCTTCAAGAATATCTCTTTGGCCTTCTACACTCCTAGCAAGGCTGTGCTCTGAGGGGTCGTCCTGCCCTTCGTCTTGCTCCTGGTCAGACTCGTGGCCTACTGATGCCTGGCTGGATGCAGCTGCAGCCCCACCGAGGCCTCCTTTGGTCTGAGTTCGCTGCATCTGTTTACATTCGTCCTCCACTCGAGCCAGCAGACGGCGGATTTCCCGGTTATTGGGACACAGCTTGGCTGCTTCATGTAAGTCAGCTAAGGCTGCTGTAAACTGCCTGTGAATGGAGAGAGGCATTGTAACCCGAGGCATAAATAAAATAAAAACATCAACACAACGCTGGTCTGGAGTTACTGAACCGCTTACCTGCTGCTTCTTTTAGCTCTGGCACGGGCATAGTAGGCCTCATAGGATTTGGGTTTCAGCTCCAGTGCTTTTGTTGCAAACTCCTCAGCCATCCCAAAATCCTGCAGCCGAGGCAAAAAAACAAAACGGATAAATGATTTTGAACCAGTTGTTATTCTCTTCTTGCTATAGTGATAATGGAAACCAGTATACACTACTTAGTTCCTGTCACAGAGTAGAACATCTGTGACTTACTTCATTTTATGTCACAGTTTTCTTGCTTTGAGTGCATTTCTTCCCCTTTTTGTCTGTTTTGTATCACACACAAAAACAATGTTTCCAAATACTATATGACGGCTGACTGCGATCCACGCAACATCTCTCTCACACTTTATACTCCCCATGTGAAGTGATAAAATGCCTGGCAGGCACCCCAGGTAGTTAGAGTTTATTGTAGAAAACACACAACCTTGTGCCGCCTGTTTCCCTCATATCTTCTTGCTTGCGGCATGTAATTGCACAAACAGCTGGCTCACTACAAACGTCTTCCTGCTAGACTTGGGCTTTGGACTGTAAAAAAAACTAAATCTGCAGAAACTATTATCTGGGGGGAAAATAACCCAAAACCTTTCACATGTTCACATTTTCATGATGCTTTCTTTGGTGTCATTTTCAAAATGCACATCCCAGCTTAAATATTACTCCATCATTCTGTAAAACATGAGTGAGCGGAGAAGCTGACATTAGAACTGTCCGGGTCTGAGTCACCTACCGAGCACATCTGCAGCCTTCTCCCACCCTACCACCCATGTTACCAGCTAAACACTAACAAGCCTTCTTGTGTCTGCACATACTCAAACCACAGCAGAGTCACAGATTTCCTCCTTTCCTTTCTATACAGTAATATATGCATACAATACTGTGCAAAGGTCTTGAGTGGGGCCTTATTATTATTATTTTTAATAGTTTAATAGAGAAATGTGCACATTGATTGAAACATGTGCAACTACACAAGGAAACAAGCATTGAAGTCAACATTTGGTGTGACCACCTTTATTCTTCGACACAGCCTGAACTTTCTTAGGTTCAAGTTGTGTTGAAGAATGCAGTTTCCAGGCTTCTTGAAGATCATTCAAAGCTCTTCTTTGGATGTTGGTTGACTTTTGGTCCATTCTCTGTCAAGATGATCCCACGCTGCTTCAGTATTGTTGAGGTCTGGGCTCTGTGGAGGCCAGTCCATGACTGATTGAGTTCCACTGGGTGTTTCTTTTTCTGTCCAGGCATGCTTTTACTGCACTAGTAAGTTGTTTGGGATCATTGTCATGCTAAAAAAAAAATCAGGGTGCTGCCATGGTTTACATGGTGGATGAAAACTTGTGACAAGAAAATACTGACTGAAATCCAGCCCTGAACCATGACCCAGCTTTCACTGTGTTTTACAAATATCCTGGCCTCCCACAGATATCTTTACATTGATTTGAGCCCAAAATTGAAATATCGATTAAGGGTTCACGACATTTGCACAGTATATCAATAACAATATTATTACACATTCATAAATATGAATGAAGAAGAAATCAAAGTCTCTTGAGAGACGTACGTTGGTTTTCCTGCGACAGCGGGAGAGATTGAGGTACAGGGAGACCCTCAGGTCTTTAAATGCCTTCAGTTCATCACCGAAGCCTTCTCTGGGAAACTTCCTCAGGGCGTACTGGTACCTCTGGGCTGCCTCTTTCATCTTCCCTTTCTGCAGGACACATGAAGGGCAAACACGTGTTGAGGAAGAGGAGAGAACCAGAAGGAAAAGCGGAATAATGTAGGGGAGAGAAGCAGGCCAAGGCATCCACCAGATACTCCCACAATAGCTGTTCTCTGGCTCAAGTCCTCCCTTCTCATCAATCACACATACAACAAACAGACAAGCTCAGATAAGACACACACACACACACTAACAAGTTACACATGACAGGTTTGTCCTTTCTGCTGCAAACTCAATCTGTTAAATGTCAGACATCGATCACGGCACCTTTGTTGAGTGCTATGAAACATGCACATCGATTCATTGTCTACATTTATCTAAGCAAGAAAAAACCATCCTTCTCCACTCCTTTTTATAAAAAAGATTGGAGGAGCCATGTCTGTGTTTTTTTTAAGCATTTCATTAAAACAGGAAAATCATCTTTACTGTCGAGAGGAATCAGTTTCTATTTCAGATACCTTGTAAAGCAGGTTTCCTTCCTCCATCAGCTTCTGAAGGAGGATGATGAGGATGTCAGGCTTTGAAGTAGCCATGGCCCAAGCAGCGTTCCCTGCGGAAGCAGAAGGCAATTCATGGTGCCGTTTTCAGCTTGAACAGACGGACATCGTATTCTCTTTAATTTGGTACAAGGTAAAGTTACCTAAAGATTGTACCTGATCGATCATAAGGAGACGTTCTGTAGCCTTAAGTTTATTGAGGCCAGTTAACAGTTAGGAGGAAGAGAAGAGAGGTCATGCGACAGGAAGGGTTGTTATTTGAAGCGAAAGGAAATTGTGTTACAAAGTGCAGTGTGACAATATACAATTATGGCTCACTTAAGTTGAAATGATGTCACATTTTCATCAGTAAATGCACGCTGACTGCGCCGAGGAAAATTTAAAGGTTCAGCTCTATTTTTTTTCTCCAAGACAGCAGAGTGCGCTGAAGATAAGCTGCAGAAATGTAGCTTTATGAATGTCATTTGGGTGATAAGTCACATTCTTAAATTAGCCAAGCAGCTCATCAGGGAGAAATGGGACCGACATACTCTTTATAGTTAGGGTACACACACGCACGCACGCACGCACACAGTGAGTGAAAAGCAGGAATGGAAACAGTTTTCCCACGACATTCCACAAATTTTGTCTGATTGTATTTAGTACCATGAGATACAGAAGAGGGCAGAAACAAACCCGACATAGAAACGTAACAAAATACTGTCTTTCTGTGTTTACTGAGATGTGACAGTACTCTGCGGGCACTTTGTAGAAACCACAGGCGTAAAGCTGTCCAAAGAGTGTTGTACAAACTGGTACTGGTTTCCCTCACTCACTAGTCTCAATTTGACATGTTGGTAATAAATATACAAAATACAGTTTTTAGCAGTTTCACCCTTAGTCAAGGCATTTTTTAAGAGTTCTTACCCAGCTTTGCTCCTTTCTTTAATAGAGTCACCACCACTGACGTGTTCCTACAACCTATGGCCCGGTCCAGAGGCCTCATCCCACTGTGGTCCACATGCTCTATCACTGCTCCTCTTTCCACCAAATACTGGACCTATAGGAGGCCACAGATGGTTAAGAAAACATGAACAATGCATCCACAGTCAAGAGTGCAGCTAACTCACAACAGTATGTGTTCAATAACCTTAGTGGAATGTTAATTAAGGCTAAATAAAGATTGGGACGTGTGGTGTTTTTGTGTCTCTAAGGATATTGGAGGGGGTGTGTGTGTTTCAGCAAATTTAAAACAATTTCACTCACAATCTCTGCGTCTCCATAGAAGGCAGCGAGGTCCAGTGGAGTTCGTCCGTTTTTGTCCGTGTGGTCGATGACCGCACCCTTCTCTACCAAAAACTGCACCACATTCTTATGTCCTTTTAAACATGCCCAGCTCAGGGGCGTCAGTCCCTCCTTGTCCATCGACGTTAAAGATGCACCTTTAAGACCAATGGAGAAAAGAAAACCCAGTTGTTTCATATGAACACACTGTTGATTACAACTAGCTAACTGGCATATGATGCTTTGGTGCACCGCTCACCTTTAGAAAGCAGAAACTCCACAGTACTCAGGTGACCCTCACAAGCGGCCACCATGAGCAGGGTCCTGCCCTGCTTGTCACTGATGTTAATGTCAGCACCATTCTGTAGCAGCAGCTCTGCAATCTAACACACAGGCGAATAAGGTTCAGCTATACAGAGCTCACGCGCAGCGTTATTTAAGAAAGCAGGAGACTGTGAGGGCAGGACACATAATGCAATCAAATGCCACACGTTTGGAGAAAGATGCCACTGTGTAACTGTAGTTGGAAGCAGTGTTGTTATTTGTAACCGCTCAGAAACTCTCACCTGCCAGTGTCCCTGTCTGACCGCGCAGAAGAGAGGAGACACCCCCCGCCTGTTGACCTGCTGCACCACCGCCCCCTGCTCCAACAGAAAGCTGCATACCTCCATCTTGCCACGGCCGGCTGCAGCCGTCAAGGCTAAAGTGAGGAAAGGGGACACAGGCACTTCATCAGACACATTTACTTATTAATATATCGTAAAAGAAACACTTTGAAAGCGAACAAAATGTGTCCAGTACACAGTGTTGTTTGCTGCTAATAAAGAGGCATCCAATGTCTTTAGTACCCTTGAAGTACTGTGTACGGCTCAGATAGAAACAGTGACTCCAGAATCTCTGGAAAAATAAGGAGCAGCCGAGAAGTGTAAGCTGCAGCGTGCTACTAATTGACTTTAAATCAGATAATTATGTTTATGCTTATTAAACTCATTAAATTCCTGCCTCAAGTTCCCCCGGCCTTGTACAAAGAGATGAGAATTCAGTCATTTCATGCATCAGCAGACAAACATTAGACAAGAAAAATCAAGCAACTGTGTTAAATACCCGTTCTTGTTTACGTTTTGTATCTTCCTCAAACCGAGATTAACTGGAATTAGCCAATTAATTTTAAAGAAAAGGAACTCAAACGCTGTATTAATTGGTGCTTGTAAAGAAAAGAGATTCTTCAAGTGTTGGATGCTTACAGTTCGTCAGCAGATGGACTGGTCTTAAATGAGTGCTGGTTATCCAAACAAAGAGGGATCCAACGTTAAGAATCCGAGCAGCTTTGCTCTCGCAAAGATTTAAGGTGCCGCTAAGCCTTCTTGTCTCTCTGACATCATCCATCTGGATGAACAGTCATCAGAGCCAACCAATCCCAGCCTCCATCTGCTCAAAATATGGATATCCTCTCACACGGCACAGAGCAGAACAATGACTCTAAGGAACTAAACTTAGGCTGTGCTTGTTCTCAAGGGAGCGGCGTTAGCCAGAGTGGGGATGGTAGTGGCCTACAATGAACATATAATCAGCAGCTCAAGAGCTGCACTCTTCATGTTTTTACACGTTATTCTTAGAAGTTCTTCATCCTCAGAGACCTTTCCATATATTGATGAGGGTATTTATTCGAACCTTCAAAGTAAGAGCTTCTACAGAAGATTATCAACATTCCTACTCACAGAATAAGGAGCTCCTTTTCTAACTTTTATTGTTTTAGAACGACTTGCAAAGATATCCTTCCTTATCTTGTGTTTTGAAAGCTATTCATCTCAGCTCTCCTGCATTTCACCTCTCCTCTTCCTATCCGTGCAGACCACCTACAAGCCACCTTCAAAGTGTCTTTAAATCACTTTGATAGACTAGGTAAACGTATAATAGCCCTATTCTGCAACCAGGCTGGCGGAGCTCAAGACACACCAACAACAGAGAGGTCGTGACCTGACATTTTAAGCAAAGCTTTGCAGATAAAAAAAAAGAAAAAAAGCTGGAACTCGTTTTTTTTTAATTTTTTCTCAAAACAATGCCAAATGCCTTTCTAACCACAGTAAGGAATATTTCAGTTTGTCCATGCTTGTGCCTATAATAGTTTCAGAACAAGAACTGTTCAGAGTTTCATTAAAAAAACCTGACAGACTGTCAATTTAAGAAAAAAACATGGTTGCAGGAAAATGATGAAAGACAATCCGGACAAGGGTTTTGAACAATTATCACTTGGTTTTGCCTGTTCAACAGCTTGTTAATGCACATGTCTAATCTGTCAATCACATGACAACTCGATCCATTTAGGCATACAGATGTGGTCAATTGACCTGCTGAAGTTCACTGCTGATGCACTTCTGCTTCAAGCTAATAGGAAGTCAGCTGCAACTCAAATAACCACCCATTAAAACCAAGGTATGCAGAAGAGCATCTTTAAACACACACACACACACCGTGTCAAACCTTGAAGCAGATGGGCTACAGCAGCAGAAGACCACACTATGTGCCAGCTAAGAACAGGAAACAGAGGTTCAAGATTCTCACTAAAATTGGTTCTGCTGCAACGTCACAATTTGGCATAAACAACAAGAATGCATCCAATCTTGTATCAACAGTTTAAGCTGCTGGTGGTGTAATGGTGAGACCCAACCCACCGTACATGAGTAACGACACGGCAAACATGAGTATTACTGCTGACCATCCCTTTATGATCACAGTGCTTCCAGCAGGATGACATGCTGTGTCACAAAGCTCAATTATTTTCAAATTCTTGAACATGAAAATGAATTCACTTTACTCAAATGATTACAATTTCTTCATGAAGACCGAGCTTGAAAGTGTAGCTTAATTCCTGGCTGTATTTCTTTAAGTAAACCAAACTTTCTGATTCTTGGATAACTGATATTGTCCTGGTCGCTTTGCCCCTTCAACATCTTCCTCTGGGGTCAAGAATCCTGCTGTTTGATCATAGCTTTGCAATTCAGGGACTAAGACCACAAAATACTAAAGCTTGTGCTAGACAAAAAAGTATTTAAATAAAGTCGACATAGGGACAACATCATGCTGGATGAAAGGATGTTGGAAGATTTTCACCCAAGGAACTGGGGGTTCACTTCCCAAATAAACGGTAGTATCTACTTCATTTGCAATTATAGAAAAAGACCAAAATATGTAACAAAAATTGCTTTTATGCAAAACAACAATGCTGCGGCTCTTTGCCACAAGCCAGTCATGCTTACAACAACTAGAATGACTCTTTGCAGGTAAATTGCCTTTCTTTGCATAACAGGGAGGTTTATTGCATCCTAAGAGAGGACTTTAAAAGATAGAGTTTGCACAGATGTACAATCAAATCTTCTTCTATTTAAACACAAGAGACAGCAGGTCTATTTGCAGTGAGATGTAATACTCCGATGAATTTTAAACACGCTATAACATTTCACACATCGTTATGAGAGGAGCGTTTCTGAGGCAACGACAAAAGGCTGGTTTTCAAGGGGATATTTCTGAATTTTCTTTTTCGCTTTCAATCTTCTCTGCATCACAGCACAACAATTGGATTAATAAACCTGCAGCTGAATAGCAGCAAAGGGATTTCAAATATTGCTTCATCGCTAATAATTTCTGGTGTTTGTATCTAGTCATTTCTAGACAGTGCAGCCACTCCACCACTAAATATTCAATTTATGTCTGCAGCAAAATTCCAGCTTTTTTTATTCATTTTTTCCCCCCCAAGCATGACTGAGTGCAGACAAATCTACATTGTGGTCATAACTGTGTTTACTGTTGTTTACTGATTTAATCCCCTTGAATACAGATGAGCCAGGATCACATTTTTAATGAGTGCCAGGTGGGTGCAAAAATATGTTAATTCAAGGTCATGTCAAGGGGTTAAGACTCACTGTGTTTCAGGTCAGCGGAGCCACAGCTCTGACTACTGCCACCTGTGACCCACTATGTTATTACTTTAGAAGGAAGAGGTGAGGTGATAGCAATGATTAAACATCCACTTTGTTAAAAAGAGCTTAAAGTCAAATACTGGAAAGCCACATGTACTATTGGATTTTACTTTGCTCCAAGCAGATCTAATCTATATTTCAGAGGGAAAGATCTTTGTCCCAGGCCAGCACTGCAAAATCATCTGAAGCAGTCATTTAACAGAGAACAAGCAGCAGTTAGCCACACTTTGGACAACCTCTCCACTAAGAAGCTGACCTACATTCTTAAAGCAGCCAACTTTGAATGCTAAATCCTGCTGGGTTAGAGTTGAGAGACACACAAAGAGAATTCTTCTTTATACATATTCTACTATGACTGCAGCGACAACTAATACTGTTGTCTAATGCTATCTGGACACTTGACTCTCAGGGCAGATGTTCATAATGATGATGACAAAAATGTGGCCAATGTTTTAACACAACCTGCACTAATGATTGTGAGGAATATTGAAGCTCTAACACCACATGTGTCTCATTCTTACATAATGCATCACAAGTATTACTAGGATCAATGAAAAATAAAGCATAGCTGTGCTTTTTAACCAACTGTATTGAACATCTGGATCTCTGCACTGCGACATAAAATAGAAATCTTATGTAGTACATAAAATCTTTCCCTTTCTCCATCACAGATTATAGACATTCGAAAAACGTCAAACACTTAAAAACTGAAGACAATCTGTTTCGTCTCGTATTTTAAAAATGGCGTCAGGTGGTTGCTGTCAGTGCCTCTGTCAGTGCGCCCCAGGGTGGCTGTGGCTACAATGTAGCTTGCCATCACCAGTGTGCGAATGTGTGGATGACTGGATATGTAAAGCGCTTTGGGGTCCTTAAGGACTAGTAAAGCGCTATATAAATACAGGCCATTTACCATGCTGTGCACATGATGAAATTGTATGTTTAATGATTTTTTTCCCTGCCATTATTCAGATTGAAGACTCGTGGAACACAAGTAATAACATGATTAAGTACTCACTCTAATGCGATTACTGAGTTCAGCAAAAGTAATGAGTTACCGTTAAAATACTGCATTAGAGACAAAGTAGTAATGCTTTAATGGCTAAAAATTATGATGCATGAACGCTTCCCGGCCAATGCAGCCTTGCAGTCTGCTGTATCATTTCTGTCAGACAACCTTCAAGTAACCCGTCTTAAATCTGACAGCCACCTTCTGCTTTTCCGACTTCATGCCGTTTCCTGCAGCACCACATGGCTTTTTGCTTTGACTCCTCAATCACTTTCAAATGAAAACAAACTGTCCCACAGAGGGAAGGACAAACTTTTAAAAAGTCCAAAATAATCCTTTCAGGAAAAACAAAACAGGAACTACTACTCATTCTAAATCTGAGTGGGACTAGCAGCGTATAAAACCAACTGTGGAATCGACGCTGTTGTTTTAACATAAAGCACCGAGGGAATATTGTTCCTAAAATTCAGTGGGACAATTTTTCTAAAAAAAAAAAAAAGGAAAATACTGTGTGGACTGAATTCCAAGCAGAAAGCTACACGACAAGAGTAAGTAATGCTTTTACCAGAAAGTACAGCACAGGAGGACTTACAACAGCCATTAAAATGCACCCACATTTGGGTTGAGCGACCTCTGCATCAAACAGAGAGCATTACTGTGGAGAGCACAGATACAGGACTTTCCACTGCAGCATTCAATTACAGCAGTGTGGTTCAGAATGCAAAAACAGCTGGTGATAGTACAAAAGAGCCGTGTAATGCAAAAAGATTGATGAGAACATACCTGTCTCTCCCCACAGTGTGTCATGACTATCAATTTGCACAGCGTGCTCATTATTCAACGCCAGCAAGCCTCTCACAACCTGCCAAAAAAGAAACTTAGATTAATGACATGCTGTTTCAGCAGAAAAAAAAATAATCAAATAAACCTTTGAGAGGTTACAGTATACAAAATGCTAATCTTAAAAAACATTAACAAAAACGCGCATTCAAATAGTTGAACTTTAAAAGGGTCTTTTCTGCATGCAGGTTGACTTCACTTGGCCCAGTTATGTTATTCTAATCCAGGCCTTGGGAGCCAATTCCAGCTAACGAGGGAGCCAAACTAAACCTTGAGTCTACGTCTCACCGGGGCAGCTGAAGGCGCTGCACTGTTATCGATTGTGAATCTACATGCAATTCTGAACAGTACTTCTGGCTTTGAGTCATATTCACAGAGAACGCTGTGTGCTCATTTTTATTTTATATATCTATAGTTCCTTCTGATCTTTAAAAAAAAAATAAATCAGAAATTCTTTGTGAAGGCTGTTGTGAAACCATGCAAGAAAGAAAAGGTCTTGTCTCACTATTAAAACGGGAAAAACCAGGATCCTGTGTGGCTTAAAGTATGTTTTTTGTACGTCCATGTTTTCTTTCTTTTGTAGCGAGAAACAGTACAAAAAAAAGGGCATTTATGTCTATGGATCTGGTAAAATACATGCATGTGTGTCAGTCAGACCTGTGTGTGCCCCATGCTCGAGGCTGCAATCAAAGCCTGCTGCAGAGCTTTGCTCTTCAGAGAGCAGTCCTGCTGCTGCCCCTCAGCACTCCATTCTAGCTCCAGCAGGTACTGGATAATCTCAAGGTGTCCTCGTAGGGCAGCATGGACCAGAGCACACTGGCCACTCTTATCTACATGATCAACCTGGCAAAAAGGAGATTCTTGGTTTTAATAAACAGAAACAGCAAAAACCTGTGAGGTAAATATACCGTATGCATGGTTCAGACGCATTTTTCAAATTTAAGTAATTTTTACGCACTTTCAAAGTCCATTATCAAGCTTTTCCAGTACATTACCAAAAAAAAGAATGAATGTTTCAATTTGCATTACCTCAATAAGACCATGTAAAAATTGAAACAAATCATCTTAGGTCGACTTAAAAGTCCTTTGTTCTCCTTTTGTTAAAACAGAGAAAAATGCACCACACGAAAACACTGAAAAAAGAAAATGGTTGATTTATATGCATATAGTGTACAAACTCAAAACACATTTCTCTTAAAACAGTAAGATGTGCAAATGTGAACAAATCAACTTAGAGATATTCATCTCCACTTGACAAAAAACAACAATCACACAAAACAAGAAAACTGCACAAATTAATAAGTCTTTAATCATTAATAATTAATAATTTTTGTGTCACAAAAATTGGAGACAGATGTTTGTTATTTTAACTAGTTATGCACCCATGCCCAGAGAAATGGGGGGAAAAGGGAGGAGACCACGTTTAATCGATTATAACAC